ACCCCCCCCCCCCCCCCCCTCAAGTTGGACCATGTAGAGACCAAATGCCCGACTTGCGTAGAAGAAACTTGAGCTGATGCCACTCAAGTGCCTTTGTGAATATGTCCACCAACTGCTTATGTGTCCCTACATGTGCGGTCTTAGTCAATCCATCTAGAATCTTCTCTAAAACAAAATGACAATCAACTTATGTTTGATTCGATCAAGAAACACCGGATTAGCTGCAATATGTAGGGCTGCTAGATTATCACGTAATAAATTTATAGGGCCCTTATGTCGTATCCCTAACGATCATAGGAAGGAACGAATTCAAAGAAGCTCAGTCATAGTAACTACCATGGCCATATACTCAGCATCTGTTGAAGAACGAGACACTATACTTGCTTCTTGGTATGCCAAAAAATTGGTGATTCCTCCAAGAAAACAAAGTAGCTCATTAGTGAACGTCGCGTGAATGGACATCTAGTCTAATCAGAATCACAGTATGCATCCAGCTAGAGTGAAGGACGTGAGCTTAGAATAGACATGGACTGCATATATATATATATATATATATATATACACATACATACATATATATATATATATATGTATATATAGATTTTGGTTCAGGTGAGAATGCGATCTTATGACAGAAATAAGAATGAATCCGGTGCTTTCGATTGTGAGATCTAAGGGTTAGGTTTGCATCAAAATTAGGTGCACCAAAATGGTTTGAAAATGCATCATGTCAAAATGCACCAAAATCCATTGAAAATGCATTGTCTCAAAATCTGAGTGCAGGATGCAATCTGAGCCGCACAATGTATCATATCCAAAGGCTAGATTTTATTCTTATTTCTTTCACCAAGGTGCATTCTCACCTGAACCGGCCTATATATATAATTAGAATGTTATTGGGTAATGATAGGAACATAGTTTTGAAAACCGGACCGGACCGGCCGGTTCGGACCGGGAACCGGTGAACCGTGCATCAAACCGGTCCGGTCCGGGCAATCAGACCGGCTTCAGCAACGAACCGGTGGAAACTGGTTAAAACCGGAGAAAACCGGCCGGTTTCACCACCGGAACCGATTTTTTAAATTTTTTTGTAAACTTTTTTTAAAAAACACACGTCCAAGGTTCGAACCAAGACCACATCGTAAAAAGGGGCACGCTTCAAACCATCTAAGCTAGAATCTTGGTGTTAACTGATTGCTATTTGTCTTTAATACGGAGTAATATTCTTTAACTACAAAATTCTTTATCAAATACTTTTAAAAAATATAAAGTTTTTTTAACTAAAATTCAAAACTCATTGATATAATTGAGATGAAGTGCATATCACATAATTATTTTATATATATATATATATATATATATATATATTAAATACTAGGTAATATGTTTTTAAAAATCAAATCACTTTTTATTTATAAATTTTTTTAAATATGTATTTTTTATGTGATGACACGACTCAAGTAAATTAAGTGAATTATAAATTTAGTCAAACATCAATTATTTATTTATAAATAGAGGAAATAGTTTTTTGTTCACTCATATATTAGTTTTTTTAATTCAATACCACAACGTGTGCGTGTGGGTGTGTGTGTGTATTTATTTATTTATTTATTAAAAATGTTTGAACCACTAGTTCAACCACTCAAACCATTGGTTCGACCAGTGAACTAGTGAACCAGTGCCTTGACCGTTTCGGTTCTGAAAACTATTGTTAGGAATGTTATTGTGAACCCATTGATGTAATTTGATGTAAAATTGGTGTTGGTTCATCGGGGAACCGAAGTTGGTGCAAAAACCAGGAATCTGTCACGGTTGACAGTAGGTCGGTACTACCGGGACAGTATCGACAAGATACCACCATCCTAGCCTCTTTATTTCTACCTTTTTCTCCCGGTACCTGTCACCAAGCGGTATTCCTGTACTAGGACGGTAGGCCCTATGCGCCTACCGCCAAGTCAGTAGTGGCTACCATGACAGCATACCGGGTGAGTGCAAAGGACGTCCCGGACAGTACCCACATACCGTGGGACGGTACCCTGGTATTTAGTGATGGTAGCCTCTACCGTTAAGGGTACCATGGATTATCTGAACCGAGCAACGATTCATGTTTCACTAAGGATTGATTCCAAGGCTTGTGTGTGTTGCTTGACGGGAAGTAAGGGGTGACAACACCCCAAACTAGACCGCTTATTGTTGTAATTATGCTACATGGTGTTGATCCAACACATATGTGATTATGTAAACTATATAAACCTTATGATTCAAATGCAAGTGGGTTGATCCAACACACAGTATACAGGTGTCACATGTTGATCCAACATGCTCATCAAGGTAACTATACCTAGGGAGAATCCTCGGGACTGACACAAGTAGTTAGTAGGCAAGAGTCTAAACCAAGTGGATGCCTACTGGCCTCCAATGGGTAAACCAGGTAAAAACGTACGTACGAGTATGCTTGAATTACCTGGTGATCGATCCGATGGGGATTCCACCCACCCAAAGGGGAACACCCTCTTTGGTAAAGCTTGGCCCATTGATCTAGTGAAAACAATCATGACTGCAAACAATTATTTTTGATCATCAAAAATAATTTTTCCTTTTTATTCAATAAATGAATTTATAAATAGAAAAATAGGAAATTGATTCCAAAAATGTAGTTTAAAATTTATGAGTTATATTGACATGTCAAAACATCCCAGGAAATATAAAATCTAATTTTCATAATTATTAAGTATTTATGGCACAAATAACAAGTATTCTACACATAAACTACTTAATAAGAATAATTTAAAAATAACCCAAACACTAATTCCAAAAATTACTAAAATTATATTAGGTCAAGTATTTAAATATGGCCACCTAATCAAATTTTATAATGGCATACATTTTTTGTCTCCAAAATTTATTGACTAATATACAAAAACGATAACGGCAAAAACTACTAAACTAGTAACTTCGTAAGCCGGCTCCGATACCATTGTTGGGAAACAAGTATTTACATATTTATGAGTAAACTACATATTCTTATTTTAAAATATATTTTAAAATTTATGAGTTATATTGACAGGTCAAAAACACCCCAGGAAATATAAAATCTAATTTTCATAATTATTAAGTATTTATGGCACAAATAACAAGTATTCTACACATAAACTACTTAATAAGAATAATTTAAAAATAACCCAAACACTAATTCCAAAAGTTACTAAATAAAATTATATTAGGTCAAGTATTTAAATATGGCCACCTAATCAAATTTTATAATGGGATAAATTTTTGTCTCCAAAATTTATTAACAAATCTACAAAAATGATAACGGCAAAAACTACTAAACTAGTAACTTCGTAAGCCGGCTCCGATACCATTGTTGGGAAACGAGAATTGGATAACGCAGCGGAAAACAAAAATTTAGAGTCCAAAACTCGATTCCACCGAAGAACAACTTACATAAATTACTAACTATAGTAAGAAAGTTACCTTAACGGTGAAAACGGATAACGGAGAAATGATCGGGGATGGTTTTGAGAAGATGAACGTAGCGCCAAATGTATGAAGCCTGCAACGTATCCACACGAACTTGCTGCGGAGTCCTAGATTAAACTTGTGCTAGCAAATTTAATATAGGATAGTAAAAGCTATAATAATACTACTTTGGGGAGTAATAAATATATAGTAAAAATAGTAATCTTATAAATATTTTTTATGATATTTTGCGTATGTTTCTAACACTTTAGAAAAATAGCTTTGAACACAAAACAATACCTTCTACGACACAAGA